GAGAAGACTGGCAACAGATGTTAGCTCAGGGCCAATCTTCCTCACCAAAAGAAAAACAAAATATAAATAAATGTAGAGGTATACTGTATTCATGGATTAGAAGACTCAACATAGTACACATGTCAATTCTACTCAAATCGATATACAGGTTTAATGCAATTCCAATCAAAATCCCAGCAAGAAGCTTTTGTAGATATAGAGAAGATTATTCTAAAATTTATGTGGAAAAGCAAAGGAACTAGAATAATGAAAAACCAATTTTGAAAAAGAAGAATAAAGTGGGAGGAAACAGTTACTTAATTTCAAAACTTGTTATATAGCTACAGTAATCCAGACCGTGTGGTAATGGTGGATGGACAGATACACAAAACAGAATAAAGAAGCTGGAAATAGACCCTCCCAAATAGCCCAAATGATTTTTGACAAAGGTGTAAAAGCAAGTCAATGGAGAAAAGAGAGTCTTTTCGACAAACAGTGCTAGAGTAATTTGGTATAACAGGCAAAAATACTAACCTCAAGCTAAGTCTCACACCTTATAAAAAATTAACCCAAAATGAATTGGGGACTTAAGTATAAAACTTAAAACTATAAAGCTTCTAGGAAAAAAAAAAACAGGAGAAAATCTTCAAGCTCTAGGGGTAGGAAAATAGTTCTTAGACTTGACACCAAAAACACAAGCCATAAAAGGAAAAACTGATAAAATGGACTCCATTAAAATTGAAAACCTTTGCTCTACAAAAAACCCTTTTAAGAGAATGAAGACAAGCTTTAGACTAGATAAAAATATTTGCAATCCACATATCTGAAAAAAGACTAATATCTAAAATATATAACTAACTCCTGAAATTCAATGGGGAAAAAAATCCAATTATAAAATAGGCAAAAGATATTAAGACATTGCACCAAAGAGAATAGACAGGTGAAAAAGTAGCATATGAAAATAAATTCATCTTCATTAACTATTAGGGAAATGCAAATTAAAATTACGAGATATTACTACACACCTACCAGAATGACTAAAACAAAAAACAATGATAGCTTCAAGTGCTGACAAAGATGTGAATAAAATGGACCACTCAGACATTGCTGGTGAGAATGCAAAATGGGACAGTCACTTTGAAAACCAGTTTGGCACTTTCCTTAAAAACCAAACATGTAACTACCACACAAACTAGCAATTATATGTGTGGGCATTTATCCCAGAGAAAAGAAAACTTACGTTCACACAAAAATCTGTACATAAATGTTTATAGCAGCTTCATTCATAATGGCCAAAACCTGGAAACAACCCAGATGTCCTTCAGTGGATGAAGGGTTGAACAAAACCGTGTGCATCCATATTGTATTGGCTGCCTGTCGCTGCTGTAATAAGTTACTACAAACTTAGCGGCTTAAAATAATTTATATGTTACGGTTTTGGAGGTCATAAGTCTGAGACGGGTCTCATTTAGCTAAAATCAAGATTTGGGCAGAACTGTGTTTATTCTGCAGGCTCTACAGAAGGATCCATTCGCTTCCTTCTCCCAGTTTCTAGAGGCTGCTACGTTCCTTGACCAATGGCTCCTTTACCCATCTTTAAAGCCAGCAGTGGAGCATCTTCCAATCTGACTCTCACCTTCCTACCTGCTTCCTTCCTACAGTCATGTATTGATTAACGATGGGGATATGTTTTGAGAAATTCATCCTTAGGCGATTGTGTCATTGTGCAAACATGGTGGAGTGTACTTACATAAACTTACATGGTCTAGCCTACTACACACCTAGGCTAGATGGTACTAATCTTATGGGTCCACTGTTGTATATGTGGTCCATCATTGACTAAAACGTTGTTATGAGGTGCACGACGTATAAGGATCTCTGTGATTAAATTAGGCCAACCTTGATAATCCAAGATAATCTCCCCACTTTAAACTCCTTAACTTAATCACATCTGCAAAGTCCCTTTTGCCATGTAAGGTGACATATTCACAGGCTCTAAGGATTAGGATGTAGACATCTTTGGAGAGGTTATTATTCCTTCTATCATACATATCATAGGATACTACTCAGCAATAAAAAGTAATGAACAATTTGGCACATGTAAAAACCTGGATGAATGCTCAGAGAATTATGCTAATTGAAGAGCCAATCCCAAAAGATTAAAGGTTTTATAAATGATTCCATTTATATAATATTCCTGAAATGACAAGCTTATACAAATGGAGAATAGATCGGTGTTTACCAGGGGTTATGGAAAAGGTGGGGACAAGAGAGAAGTGGGTGTAGCTATAAAAGGGCAACCCAAGGCATGTTGTGGTGGTAGAAATGCTTTGTATCTCGACTGTACCAATGTCAGTATCCTGTTTGTCACATTGTACTATAGTTTTATAAAATGTTACCATTGGGGGAAACTGGATACACGACACACAAGACTCGTCTATATTATTTCTTACAACTGCATGTGTGTCTACAATTATCTCAAAATAAAAAGTTTAATTTAAATAGAAAGCAGAGAGAAAACTTCCCAACAAATTTTATGAAGCCAGAATTAACTCGTTACTAAACCCAAAAACATTACAAGAAAATGAGAGACAAATATGCCTCATAAACACAGATGCAAAAATCCTTAGTAAGACGTTAGTAAGTCAAATCATACAATATAGGAAAAGGATAATACATTGTGGTCACACAGGGCTCATCTCAGGAATGCAAGGTTGGTTTTAACATTCAAAAATCAATCAATAAAGTTCACTGTATTAATGTACTAAATACAAAAGCCACATGATCATCTTTGTAAATGGGAAAAAAGCATTTGAAAAAATTTAACACCAAATCTTTGATTTTAAAATATCAGAAAAAGAAGAATTAAAAGGACTTTCCTTAACCTAATAAAGGACATCTAAGAAAACCTTAACATCATATTTAATGGTGAAAGACAATGTTTTCCCTCTAAGTTTAGAAACAAAGCAAGGATGTCTACCGTTATCACTTTTATTCATCATTGTAATGAAGGTCCTAGACAGTGCAATAAGGCAAGAAAAATTTACACAGATGGAGTGTCATAAAAGAAAAGATTTGATCATCTTTGATCATTTTTTCCTTTGCACTAAATTTAATCTTAATGCTTAATGTTATCTTATTAAATAATCAGCTATATTTAGGGAAACTTCATTATTACATGTTATAAATTGTACATAATAATGAATTATCACATAACTGCAGGCATGAGGAAAACCATATTGTCTCAGAAGCTTGATTTTGGCTCAAATATACAAGTAGTATTTTATAGCCTCTTTTTAGAAGTCTTCACTGAAGTGGAGAGTCCAAATAGAGCAATTTTTTCTATTTTAACCCAGTAATAGTATTCATTTCAGCAGACCCTTAAGGAAATCTACCAGAAGAAACTTTTGTTCACCTAATTGGGGTGTAGCTGAAAGTGATAAACTTTGTTGGCGGATACAGGCCATCTAGACTTCCCGTTGAACCTTAAGGTGGCCTCAGAATCCTTCACAACACACTGCTCTGGTCAGCCATGTCAATGCAGCTGAGCAGACACACAGAATGAAATCCATTTTCTATCCCTGTAATAAAGTCCATTTACTGCAAGAAAAAAATCCATAATTCAGGCTGTACTCATTCAGCCTGGCATATCTGGCACTGGTCTGATGAGAGATGTTTGGCTTTTAAAATATTATGGTATCTTAAAATAGCCCAGTCACTAGAGTCTATGGTATAGAAAATGTATATGTAATAACTACATTCTCTCTGGGAAGTCCATAAAGAAGTTATTAGTCTATTTCCTACAAATTGGGGGTCAGAGTGTTAGTTTCTAGCTGTCATTCAGGACCTGAAATATGTTCATCTTTAAGGGAGGTATGCTGAATGCTTTTCAGCAGTTTCAAGAGTCAAGAGAAAGAGCTGGACCTAGAATTACACGGTCCAGTCTCCCATCCCACAGGCAAGGTACCTCCAGGCCCCAAGGAGGCTCTCTGACATTTTAGCAGTCTGCACTTAACAGGTGAGCCAAGCTGTCTTAATCCATTCAGGCTGCTATAACAGAATACCTTAGACTGGGTGGCTCATAAACAACAGAAACTTATTTCTCACAGTTTTGGAAGTTGGAAGTCAAGATCAAGGCACTGGCAGATTTGGTGTCTGGCAAGAGCTCAATTCCTGATTAATAGACAGCAGACTTCTTACTGTCTCCTCACAAGACAGAAGGGGCAAGGGAGCTCTCTGGGGTCTCTTTTATAAGGGCACTAATCCCATTCACGAGGACTCCGTCTTATGAGCTAATCACCTCCCAGAAGTCCCACCTCCTGATACCATCACATTGGGGGTTAGGATTTCTACATAGGAATTTGGGTGGGGTGGGGGGACACAAACATTCAGTCCATAACATGAGCCTTGTCGGGTACCCTAAGTCCTGTGCAGAAACCACTGCAATAGAGATGGAGTCTTCAAGAAATTGCTAGAGATCCTTGACATAACTAAAGATACAAAGTTTAATTTAAAGATGGTTTTCAATGTAAACTCTTCCTTACAAATTTCATCTAGCAGTTGGAAGAGGGTCCCTTAAAGTTGACTATGTATCTAATAGCTTGATTTCTGACGGAAATCCTTGATTTGGGGGCATATAGATCTTCTAGGCTTTGACTTCTTGTGTTTCTAAACTGCACGCAGAAGTCTGCAGGGCTGCTGGATAGTGGAACTCAAGCTTTGGGCTGGAGTTGAATCTGCTCAGAACCCACTGGTGGTGTGAGGGCTGCAGTAGACCTTAACTATTGACAGTAGATAGGTGTAGACTCTGATATCACTGGTGCAGGGAGAGTTTTAAAAGGACCAGCCTCTGTGAGACAAACGTTGCAGATCAAGTACCGGACAGGGATAGTCACTGTGTCACCCACTCCTGGAGTCATCTTCCATCTGCCTGCATGCCATGAGCCAGACGTTCCTAAGGCCAGTTTTCTCCAGGGACTTCCTGTCCCCTCACTCTTTCCCCTCTTGTTCTTTGTCTTCAGGGGGAACTGACCATGACGAGCGACATGGAGAACTTACAGAATGCCTTGTACCTAGACACAGTGCCAGAGCCCTGGGCCAGGCTAGCGTACCCTTCCACGGCGGGCCTGGCAGCCTGGTTTTTGGACCTCCTCAACCGAATCAAGGAGTTGGAGATTTGGATAGGAGACTTTGCAATGCCCTCTACTGTGTGGCTGACAGGTTTCTTCAACCCCCAGTCCTTCCTTACCGCCATCATGCAGTCCATGGCCCGCAAGAACGAATGGCCACTGGACCAGATGGCCCTGCAATGTGATGTGACAAAGAAGAACAGAGAGGAATTCAGGAGCCCTCCTCGGGAAGGGGCCTATGTCCATGGCCTCTTCATGGAAGGCGCTCGCTGGGATACACAGGTAAATCCTGGGATGAGCCAAAGGGCATCCTCTGTGGGCTGATTAAATACACATTGCCTCCAATCAAGTGTGATTACTAAAAGGACTGCTCCTGAATCTTTTGACCTAGATACACTTTCTTTGAGGCTGTCAAGCCATTTTTATGCAGCCAGGGATGGTGCAAAGAGCACAGACTTTGCAGAGTGAGTAGAGTAGGGTGGTTAAAGGCAAAGGCTCTGGAACCAGACTGGCTGGATCTGAATCTGAGCACCACCACTAATTAGCACTCTGACCTTGGGATGTAGTTCCACCTCTCCAGATCTCAGTTTACTCAACTCGTAAGTGGGAAAATAGAAGTTCCTGTGAAAATTAAGTGAGTTAATATGTAAGACAGTTGGAATAGTGCCTGGCACATATGGAGTGCTCAAAAAGTGTTGGAGTCAGCTCCCCCTGCTGCTGTGTGACCTGGGGACATCATTTCGCCTCCCTGGTCCACTTTCCTCATTCATGAGCTCTAGGAGGGCAGGAGTCCCTTCTCCCTTTTACATCACCCCCATCTGCAAAGGGGAGCCAGTAGATATTATTTAAAGTGAAATTCTGAAAGGATTCCTAACGGAAACCTAATAAAAATTTGAGTTACCATAAGATCAGAGATGCTTTTTCACAGATAGGAAACAGGCAAACAAGCACAGGTGGCTGGGAAAAATGACTTGAACAAGGACGGATAACTCTAGAACAACTTTATATTTGTTATACACATGATCTGGAAGGAGTACATAGTTAAATATCCCACTTGGCAAGTGACTCTAAACTATTCCTAGCTGCCAGTACAAAGCTAATGGGGAAAAACTGTTAGAAGATATAGAAGATCCTAGAAGGCCACATAAATACAGAGAGCAAGCTGTACTGGGTTGAATAGTGTCCTCCTAAAATTCATGTCTACCCAGAATCTCAGAATGTGACCTTATTTGGAAATATGGTCTTTGCAGATATAATTAGTTAAGATGAAGTCATACTAATGTAGCCCTAAATCCAATGACTAGTGTCCTTATAAGAAGACCATGTTGGAGACACAGAAGAGAATGTCCTGTGAAGATGGAGGCAGAGATTGGAGTAATGCATCCATAAGCCAAAGATTGCCAGCAACCACTGGAAGCTAGGAGAAAGGAATGGGACAGTTTCTGCCTCAGAAGCTCCAGAAGGAACCAATCCTACCTACACCTTGATTTAAGACTTCTGACCGGTGGAACTGTGAAAGAATACATTTCTATTGTTTTAAACACCAAGTTTATGGTAATTTGTTACAACATCCCTAGGAAACCAATCAAGAGCCAACAGACAGACAGACAGTAAAGTGGGACAGTGTTCAAACAGCCTGAACCTTGAGAAGGAAGCTGACTCCCCTCTCTCCACCTGAACATTTGTACAAGAGTCTGTCAGTGGAGATCATATGGATCGTATTAGGTTTAGGGTGGCCTAGAGAGAACCAGAGTTAGAATACCAAATGAGAAAAGTACAAAAAAGATAAGTAGGGAAGAAGCTCAGAAGGAAGAGCATTGGCACTGTGGGGAAAAAAGGACATTGATTCCAATTATCTGTCTCAATTTTGCATACCTTATTTCTACATAAGAATAATAAAAACTTTCCAAAAAGCAATACCTGTCCACCAAGAGCTCTTGTTCTCAAAGTTTCTATCCCAGAAAGATTTCATCAAAAACAGAAAAGTAAGTATGTCCAAAAATCCTCTCCTCTGTAAACCAATAAGAACACTGGCCCCAAAATTGTCAGAATCAACTTTTTAAGAAGTCTGGAAACTAACCAAAGGCTTTCACCAATCCAAGGAGTGTTTATTGAAGAAAAATGACTGAATCCCAGTTATAAGAGCAAGCTCTGTGGCCTTTTAATTTGCCTTATTCCCATCCCTTCCCCCAAACTCTACAGTAGCCTTGAAAACCAACAGGCTACATTCATAATGAAAATAGCAGCCTATCAGCCATTGGAGGGGAAAAAATGAAGTTGGAGTACCTTCAAAGCCCCATTCCTAGAAAACTGTTGTTATTTTCCCTGTGTGATGGTTCCCTGGAAGACCCCACTTGCAAGTCTGTCTTTACTTGACCTGACGTGGAGCTCACCCAGGGCAACAGCCTTTTCCCCAGAGGCATTTACTGAAAACAATCAAAGACAACTGTTTAACACTGCAGCTTGCCTGAGGCAGTAGATAACAGTGGAACAAACAAGAGGCTAACCAAAAAGCTTAAGAGGAAAAGCTGGAGAATGAGATATCCAAAGGGGGCTTTGAAAACCTCCAATATGTTGCTGGAAACCTAAAAGGCCGTGATCATTTGCAGAGCTGTGCACATGCCCATGGCTGTGCACATGGTCAAGAAAGACCTGATAAGGCCATACGCTCTCACCTCTAACTAACATTGAGGCTCTGTGCAAGCAGGAGGTGAAGGGTAAGGTAGAGTTTTAAACTGCCTGGCTGAGCATTGAAGGCATGCCTGAACATGACAGAGCCCCAGAGCAAAGACTCTGTGACTTACAGGTTCCAGGCCTATAAGAAAATTTAAGAAAATCCCTGTCTGATTATTTGCTGGCCACTAAGCTAACTGAGCAGGACACTTCAGAGGCCATACTTGACAAAGAATACAGACTTTACAGAATCAATTCAGAAAAGTCACCAAACAAACAACAACAAACCCTATGGTGGGAGAAGATCTGATTTACAGAGCTGCCACATTATATTATTTGAAATGTTCAGTCTTCAACAAAAAATTATCAGACACACAAAGAAACAAAAAGGAATGGTCCATACACAGGGGGAAAAAAGCAGTCAACAGAAACAGTCCCTGAGGAAGTTCAGGGACATCCTAGACATCCTAGACATAGACTTTTAATCAGCTATTTTAAATATGTTCAAAGAACTAAAGGAAACCATGCTTAAATAACTAAAGTATATGAACAATGACTCACTGAATAGAGAATATTAACAAAGAGATTGACATTATTTGTTTTAAAAAACGAAAAGTAACTCTGGAGTTGAAAAGTATAATATCTGAAATGAAAATTCAATAGAAGAATTCAACAATAGATGCGAGTAGGCAAAAATCACCAAACTTGGAAAAACATCAATTGAGATTATCCAATCTGAGAAACAGAAAGAAAAAAAAACGAGGAAGAATGAACAGTTTAGAGACCTTTGAAACGCCATCAAGCATACCAACATATGCATATGGGAGTCCCAAAAGGAGAGGAAAAAGAGCCAGAAAGAATATTTGAAAAATTTGGAAATATTTGAAGAATTTCCAAATTTGATGAAAAACATTAATCTCCACATCCAAGACGCTCAACAAATTCCAAATAGAATAAATTTAGAAATCCATACCTACACATGATACAATCAAACTGTTGAAAGATAAAGACAGCATCTTGAAAGCAGCAAGAGAATAGCAATTCATCACTTACAAGGGGTCCTCAATGAGATTAACAGCTGATTACTCATAAGAAACCATGAAGGCCAGAAGGCAGTGGAATTACACAGTCAAAGTGCTGAAAGAAAAAACTGTCAGCCAAGAATTCTATATCCAGCAAAAGTATCTTTCAAAAACTGAAGAAATTAAGACATTCCCAGATTTTAAAAAAAAAAAGTGCAAGAGAGACTTCATCACCAGCAGACCAGCCCTATAAGAAATACTAAAGGGCTTCTATCAGGATGAGAAAGGACACTAGGCAGTAACTCAAGTTCACATGAGAAGACCAGTAAAGGTAATTACATATGTAAATGTAAAAGATAATATAAATGATTTAAAAGACAACTGCATAAAGCAATAATTATAAATCTAGTGTTGACAGGAATAAAATGTACAAAGATGTAATTTGTATGATGAAAACAGTACAAGTTCTTAAGTACAGGAAGGAGAAAGAATGGAACTATTTAGGAGTAAAGTTTTTGTATACTACTGAAATTAAGTTGGTATTAATCTGAAGTAGATTTTTATACATTATTGTAATCCCCAGGGGAATCATTAAGAAAATTTTTTAAAATATAGTAAACATACTTTGGGAAATGCTGATTTAGAGTGATTCATAGATTTCTTGCCTATGTCCAGGCATGGCACTAAAATATATCTATTTAACACAAAAGGAAGCAGGAATGAAGGAACAGAGGAACAAAAAAAGACATTAGATATATAGAAAACAAATAGCAATGTGGCAGATGTAAATCTTACCTTATCAGTAATTACATTAAATGTAGGATTAAACACTAGATTTAAAAGGCACAGAATGGCAGAATGGATTTTAAAAAATGATCCAACTTTATGCTGTCTACAAGAGACACATTAGATTCAAAGACACAAATAGGCTATAAGTGAACAGATGGAAAAAAATGTGCCATTCAAATAGAGAATTCAACCATAATAATTGGAGTCATCAATACCCCCCACTAGTGATGACTGCTAATGGTTACAGAGTTTCTTTCTTCTTTTTTTTTTTTTTTGGGTAAGGAAAATGGTCCCTGAACTAACATCTGTCACCAATCTTCCTCTCTTTGCTTGAGGAAGATTGTTGCTGAGCTAACATCTGTGTCAATCTTCCTTTATTTTGTATGTGGGATGCCACCCACAGTGTGGCTTGATGAGTGATGTGTAGGTCTGCACCTGGGACCTGAACCAGCGAACCCCAGGCTGCCCAAGTGGCATGTGGGAACTTAACTGCTATGCCACCAGGCCAGCCCTGAGTTTCTTTTGAGGGTGATGAAAATGTTCTGGAATTAGAAAGTAATGATTGTACATTTAATAACACTGAATTGTACATTTTCAAAGGGTTAGCTTTATGGTATATGAGGAAAAAAGGTTCTACCCCAGCTCCCACTCCCTGCCATAGACTCAGGTGTAGGGTACAAGGGGGTCCCCACGGTTTACCTAAGTTCTATTACTCATCATGCCTGATAACAGCATCTAACAAAACTGAAGAGGGAACATCTTTCCCTTTAGATAAATTTCATGGGAAAGAAACCAAACTCTATCTATAGCACAAGAGGTACAGTGTCACCTGGACCTAGGCAAGGAATCTGTGAATCACTCTGAATCAGCATTTCCCAAAGTAAGTTCCATAAAACACAAGTGCCATGGGAAACAGGTTGCAAGGAAAAAGGGTCCTGTGGTCAAATAAGTTTGGGAAACACCAAGTTAAAGTTAAATTTTCTTTATTGCTAGGACTTCTCCTTGTCTTCACTGTGTTAAGCTTCAAGCCCAGGGTATGGCAAGCACCATTTCCCAAGCTCAGCTGATGAAGGAAGGCTTTGTTCCCCAGAACGTTTCTCAGGACCAGTAAGAAAAACTGCCGTAGTCAGCTCTTTTGAGACATCTCAGAAAACTATAGAGAAGCCCTACCTGGAAAGCTACAGCATGGTTAGGTCCCTATTTCATGAGTAAAGACACAACACAGCTCCCTCTGCTCAAAAAGTCAAAATGCTTTAGAGGGTAGATGAGGTCACATAGGAAATGAACAGGACATAAACCAAGCCTTAAAATCTAAAGCTTTTGCTGGCAGGAACTGTATCCTACTCATCTTTAAATCTCCAGCACCTAGCATGACATCTGGCAAATAGCTGCATTCAATATGCTTATGAAATGAACGAATGAAAACAGAAAATTAGGAGAGACTCAAACTTCAAAGGGATTAATTTGTATATGATAAATACAGCTTTTGGAACGCTCCTTCAAAAAGGGATTTAGGCTAGAAGACAGTAGAGATGTGTTTCCACCTATCAGATGCATTCCACTGTGGGTTGTTGAGAGAACCTGTAAGGGGGTAGGCATAAAGGCAGCCAGGCCCTGCTAGTATCTCATCTACTAGATCAACTGACAGGAGGAGGCTGGCTGGCTGGGCTCTAGGTCTGATCTAAGATGGCTCTTCTCCTGTTCTTGTCCTCAGGCTGGCATCATTACAGAGGCAAAGCTGAAGGATCTGACACCCCCCATGCCTGTGATGTTCATCAAGGCCATTCCTGCAGATAAGCAGGATTGCCGCAGCGTCTATCCTTGTCCTGTGTACAAGACTTGTCAGCGGGGACCCACCTACGTGTGGACTTTCAACCTGAAGACTAAGGAGAACCCATCTAAGTGGGTTCTAGCTGGAGTAGCTTTGCTTCTCCAGATTTAGCTTCCTGCAGAGCCATGAAGACAACAAGGCTGGGCTGGAGGCTGCCCAGAGGGACAAGTGGGTGAGGGGTGACCACAGACACATGGTAAGATGAGAAATCATAAGTACTCACAATTCTGTAGAACTCTTCTAGGGAACTCAGAGAGAAATGCCTAAAGTGAGGCTGAGCTGGAAGAATAGGGGAGAGGCATTTCAAAGCACTGACCCTTTCTTAATAAAGTGATTTAGTCTTCCACTGTGTCTGGTCCAGGCTTTGAGAGTTGCAGAGTCATAAATGATCCTGAAGAGACCAAGAGAAATGAGCCACAAACACTCGAGCCCTGATGTTTCTACACGGCACTATTCTCAGTGCTCTAGCTCCCAGCTACTATGTGAACTAGCAGCATCAGCATCACCCATGAATTAGAGTCCACATTTTAACAAGTTCCCCAGGTGATTTATATGCACATTATGACTTGAGAATCATTACTCTGGCTCAGGGGTCACCAAACTTCTTCTGTAAAGGGCCAGATAGTAAATATTTTAGGCTTTGCAGGGCATTTGTCTCTGTTGTAACTACTCAACTCTGCCACTGTAGCCCAAAAGCAGCCATGGAAAATACATAAATGAATAAGTGTAGCCGCATTCCAATAAAACTTTATTTACAAAAACAGACGGTGGGCCATATTTTGCTGGTCACCACTCTATAGGATAAGGGAAGTATATATGTGATATTTACCTTCATGAATTCACACATCCATTCAATAAATTTTTATCTAACACCTACTATTTGCTGAGAACACAACTGTGAACAAGGTAGGTTGTTTGCTTGTATCTCTATAATCCTTCAGATCATTTAAGAGAGACCTAAGGAGAAAGCCTTCACCTAGAGATGTTTAACCTGACAGTTTCCCAGAATTTCCTCTGTGGAACAAATTTTCACTGCAAGTCCAAAGAGTTCCACAATTTTAATGAGTTTTAAAGAGTTCTATGGGGAGGCTTGTTTGGTAAGAAAAGTCTGGAAGGACTCAGTATTCCTTCTAGGATCATTCCTATTCTTGGATTAATTACTGTTTAGAACAGTGGTTCTTAATCTTGAGCAGGCATTAGAATCCCCTGGAGGGCTTGTTAAAACAAAGGTTGCTGGGCCCCACCCTTCAGAATTTATGATTCAATAAGTCTAACAAATTGCCGATGCTGCCGGTCCGGGGACCGCACTTTGAGAACTCCTGATCTAAAACATAAAATTCCTACAAATCTCTGCTATGCAGAATACAGAATCTAATAACAATTCCACTATGATTTTCCTGCTTTCTCCCCTGTGGTTCCTGCATCCCCTGAAGAGGGGCCTTATTCATCTTCATGCTATAAGGAAGATAATAAGTTCCTCTGGAATGCAGGATTTCCAACTTGAGTTTGTCTCTCCTCTCATCAGTCAGTAATGTAATTCCCATTGTTTGCCAACACTTTAGAGTTTCTTGCCTACAGGTTAATCTGCTTTCAGAGAGATAGCTCCGTCCTCCTCATTAGCATCATCCCTCCTGATCCTCATCAAGAACAGAACAATAAGAGCAGGCAAGGGGAGGACCAAGGTGGAAGGAAGGTAGAAGTCTCACTAGATGAAAGCAGGACACTCTGGGGCATGTAACTTTTGAAGACAAGGACAAGAGGACAGGTTAGATATATGTGTTAATAAACCTCTAGACACACTACAAGTTAGATCAATACTATTGATTTCTTCCTAACACCTACAAACAAAATGAGATAATAAACATAATTTCAAAGCAGAACACTGGCAAAAATTATAGCCTAAGTGGACGCCAGGAGAAAGAAGGGCGGCTTGAGGTGCATGAGCAAATGGGAAGTGGGCTCAGAAAGAGGATACCACGGACAGACTTACCTGAGACAAAGAGTGCCCTGCACTGGCCAAGCTCTCACACCCAGGCACCAGGGTAGCACTTTCCTATCACTGTCCAGCTGACTGATAAACTTGACAGGTTTGTACGGGCTGATCTAGGAGCTGGACTCCCATTTAGGGTATTCTATGAGAAAATGCACTAACTTACAGTCAACACACACTGATACTTCACACACAAATAAGAAAACAAGTGACTCTACTAAGTTTATTTAAAACAAGGGACACTTAAAAGCTAATTTTGCATCCATATGACAAAGAACACACGTGAGCTCACTGGGCCTCTCTGCTCCCCCTTCTGTAGCAGAAGACCTGATCTAGGACCCCAGTTCTAAAGGGTTGATCTGAGGTTCTTCCCATGAGCAGCAATTGCAGCTAATCCGGTTAAACTTTCCCAGATAGCACTTCCAAAACGGGATCTCCAAGTGATACTTTTTTCCCAAGGGGTCCAAAAGAAGGGATGAGCTGAAAGATGAAGACTATTCTTTCTCAGGATGTAGAAGCAAGAAATAATTAGTGTGAAATCCAATCCAGAGGCCAATACATCCTCTGAGTCCAAAACCGTGTTCAAGTCTCTCCTCTCCAATCCATGAAAAAAAGAACAGGAATGTCCTCTAAGAGACGTAATTTCTCTGGATGGAGGTAAGTATTTTTAAATGGACCGGGAAATAGAAATGGGCTAAGAGAGCCTGGCTATTGAAAGGGCTTCTTTCCTAAGTGGGATCTTTGATGTTTATCAAGGCTCGAGCTCCAGCTGAAACTTTTCCCGCAGCGGGAACATTTATAAGGTTTCTCTCCTGTGTGAACCCTCTGATGCCTATTAAAGTTTGATCTTTGAATAAAACTCTTCTCACAGATGGGACATTTATAGGGTTTCTCTCCTGTGTGGATTTTCTCGTGGTGGCGCAACCCTGAGAAGTCACTAAAGCCTTTCCCACAGTAATCACATTTACAGGGCTTCTCTCCTGTGTGAATTCTCTGATGTTTCACAAAGTCTGAACTCCGCAGAAAGGCTTTTTTGCAGGTGGGGCACTGAAAGTACGTCTCTCCAGTGTGAGTCCTCTGGTGAAAAACAAGCTGAGAATTCCTGTAAAAGGTCTTCCCACACTCCCTGCAGGTGGGGAGCTTCTGGGCCATGGGGGCTCGCAGCTGCCCTTTCGGGGAGGCCTCTCTCTTCTCCTCAAGCCACAGCATGGACAGTTCTCCTGGATGTGGACTCGGCAAATGCTGACCCAGCTGTTTCCCAGAAGTCCTTTCTTGGGGAGAGAGCTGGCCCCCTGGCCCCTCACCCTGAAGGTTTTCCTGAGCCTCAGGGAGAGTCTCTCCTTCTCCAAAGCGTCTCGGCTCATCCTCACTGAAGAGGCCACTCAAGCAAGCCTGAGAAGGTGCCTCTCCTGAGGCTTGAGGTTCCTGGTCCCTATAGTTTTCCAAGTTTAGGTTCTCTTTGTCATTCTCCTGTCTGTCTCCTAAAAGAGGAAAGAAGGCTTGAAATAGTTCAATAAATGGTATACCCCATTCTCTAATTCATATGTCAAAGAAAGGGTCATCATAAAACATTAATTCTTTCTACCAAGAGGGCATCAGTGAGTGAGGAAGAGAAATATTATCCAGCCCGAGCTCCTGGCCCTCACTTCACTTCTGTCCAGGCTAAGGGAGTCAGCTCTGGAGCTGAGAACGTCTGATGGCAGAGGAGGGCGCAGACAGGGCTCTGCTGACACCCTATAAATAAGCAGCACGCATTTCTGAAGGCCCAGGAAAAACAAGCGTATTATATGAGAGTACTGCTTTAGAAAATGATTGGTTTTTATCTGATTATAAAATATAAATAGGATCACTAAAAACAATTCGAAAAGTATACAGAAGAAAACCAAATCAACCTCAATCATACTACCCAGAGGTAACAACTATGAGCATCAATTGCCTTCCAGTCTTTAACTTATACATACATGCGTGCTTTTTTCTGACATAATTGATATGATATTGTGTGTACAGTACTATATCTTGTCTTTGTAGCATTGAAATTGTAAATGGTGGTATTTATCAACTTCACATAGATTCTCCCATTCACAAGTAATCCAAAGATTCACGAAATGCACTGTGTCATTTTACTGTGGTTTTAACGTGCAGCGAGGCTGCAGCATAAAAGGGACTCTCTCAGTCTAGGCCTGATTCCAGCGCTCACGTGTGCTTCACTAATTTGTATCACAGTTAACATTTTGTTTGTCTGATCATAACTTGGGTTTTTGGTTATTACCACTTAATGATACATATAGTAAAGATTTTTATTTTGGTGGTAGAATTTATTTTCAACTTTTATAAATTACTTTATTCCTATAGATCTGAAGAAGTTATTTACCTTTCTCTTTCCTATATTAGTATCTTTGAAATATCTGCTAGAGACCCAGGAATCTGCTAGAGAACTAAACCTGAACTTGTTAATTCACAGTCTGAGAACACATTCCCCACAAATGACAGATATTCTCTTCTTTTTTTAAAAAAAGCCTCATCCATTTCCCTTCTTTCCTTTTTTCCTTCCTTCCTTCCTCCCTCCTTCCCTCCCTTCCTTCTTCCCTTCTGTTTTTCGTGAGGAAGACTGGCCCTGAGCGAACATCTGTTGCCAATCCTCCTCTCTTTGCTGAGGAAGATGGTCGCTGAGCTCATATTTGTGCCAGTCTTCCTCTATTTTATGTGGGATGCTGCCACAGAGTGGCTCGACGAGCAGTGCTAGGTGCGCACCCAGGATCCAAACCTGTGAACCCTGAGCCACAGAAGTGGAGCACACGAACTTAACCACTATCCCATGGGGCCAGCCCCAAAGTATTCTCTTTTTAAAGAAGGCTTTATAAATAGCATTTTAAAGAGCTGACATCACGGAAGATGTCATAAAAAACGCATAATAATAAACACATAATTTATTTAAGAATTCTCCTACTGTGAAAATCCGTTTATTGTATTTTTTCCTACTATAAATAATGATGATAAGCATTTTTCTTCATAAATTTTGCACACATTTCTGATGAAAACCTTAAAGGACGTTTCTTAAAGTGGAATTACTGCGTCAACAGGCATGAATATTTTACTAAGGCTCTTGACACCTACTAGCAAATGGATGTCCAGAATAACTATGCCATCCTCTGGTACGGGAAGCTGGGCAGAGGGGAGGCAAGTGTTCAAATGAGTTGAATATTGAATATTTTTTAAATATTTGCCATTTAGACAAATGAGGGTGAAAAATAGTTTTTCATTATTATAAATGTTGTCTTAGTTATTGAAGGATAAATTTTCTCACATTTATGAGCTATTTTTCATACTCCAAGTCTGCTGTCCATTTTTTATTAGGAAAGTCATTTTTTTCTTATCAATTTGCATAAACTCTTCCTATGTTAAGAAAAATAATCATTTACTTGTCATGCTCATGAAAAATGCTTTTCACCAATTCAGTTAACTTAATTTTGTTTGGGATTATATTTATGTATAGGAGTTGTGGTTTTTTTCTTTTTAAATATACTCAAGTCTATTCATCTTTCCCTTAATGATTTTAAATATTGCTTTTATACTTATAAAAATCTTCCCCATCCAGATATGAGTCAAATATTCAGCCACTTTCCTCTGTTGTTATTTTATTTCCATATTTTATGTCTTTTTCATCTATTTCGAACTTATTTCGATATATGACATACAACAAATGTAGACAGATTCCTTTTCCCAAAGAGTCTGTGTCCTGATTCTGCTCAGTGAAGAGCAACTCTCTCTGGGACCGTGAGATGCTGCTTCCTTCACTGTCCATTCAACTCTTAGAGACCAGCTTCTCTTCCTAGGCTCCCTTTTCTGTTCCATTGGTCTATACAACTATTTTTATATCAGGATCCCACTATTTTAATGATTTTACCTTTTTAAAATGACAGCCTCAAAATCTACACATCTAATCTTAATGAAATATTCTTTTTCAAAATTTTTTACTGTTCTTGCAGTATTCTTCCAGATAACTACTTAGGAAACATTTTTACAAATATATATTTTTTAATTCCTTGGAATTTTTATCAGAAGTATAAGTATATAGCTTTTTTTTTAAAGATTGGCACCTGAGCTAACATCTATGTCAATCTTTTTTTTTTTTTTCCCCTACTTCTCCCCAAAGCCCCCCAGTACATAGCTGTATATCCTAGTTGCAGGTCCTTCTGGTTGTGCTATGAGGGACATCACCTCAGCAGGGCTTGATGAGTGGTGCCATGTCTGCACCCAGGATCTGAACCAGCAAAACCCTGGGCCACTGAAGCGGAGTGTGTGAACTTAACCACTCGGCCACGGTCTGGCCCCAAGTATTTAGCTTTTTGAGACTTACTTCCCTGCTGCCCTGCTTTAACTGTGAGCTGTTCTTCCACATAGTCAAACAAAATAGCATATACACTCCCTCCTGTCACTTCTGCCCCCTGGTGTGAGTCCAGATCTGGCCGACCGGTTAACTGTTGTGTCTCCTAGATTGAACCAGTCCTTTCCAATCTTGTTATTGCTGTTGCCACACAAGTCCAGGATCTCGTCCCTGCACACCTGGACTCCCACATCGACTTCCCACAGGGCTCCTCTGCTCTAAGCGTCCCCTTCCAGTCTGTCCTGCACATGGCTACTTCCTCAACCTCCGCCCACATATCCTCCCTCTCAAGAACCTACAATGGCATTTCTTTGCCTTATCAAGCCAGGCTGGCTTTGTAGACTCTCCACAGTCTGGCTCAAGGTAAGATCTAATGGGTTCATGTCAGCAGGTGGGAGGAAGGGGAAAAACAAAAGAATGGCGATATGGAGATACAGTGAGCTATATATCACAAATAAAATTCTACTGCGAGTGAGTATAAGGAAAATCTCTGTCCCTTCTGCTCAATTTTGCTGTGAAACTAAAACTGCTGTAAAAAGTCAAGTCTATTAAAATAAAAATCCCACTGCAATGACCTCTAAAGCAGTATTTCCAGACTTTTTTTCTGCTACCCACAGTAAGAAATATATTTGTATTGAATATAGACACACATTTGGAACAAAAATTTCCTGAAACACCATCTACCCCAACATCTCATGTTTTCTATTTGCATTCTGATATTTTCCATTCAATCTTATCATTTCATTTTTCTTTCTCCCCAAAGCCCCAGTACATAGTCGTATATCCTAGTTGTAAGTCCTTCTAGTTCTTCCATATGGGATGCTGCCACAGCACGGCTTAATGTAGGTGTATAGGTCCGCACCCAGGATCCAGGCCACCAAAGCGGAGTATGTGAACTTAACCACTACACCACCAGGCCAGCCCCCTCATTTTTTTTTTTTAAAGATTTTATTTTTCCTTTTTCTCCCAAAGCCCCCCAGTACATAGTTGTGTATTTTTAGTTGTGGGTCCTTTTAGTTGTGACCCTCTCATTTTTTTAAATGCTGGTTGCAACCCAATAAAATGATTTCTCAACTGACTAATTGGTCATGAAATGCAGTTTGAAAAATGCTGCTCCAAAGCAATCTTTGTGAAATAGTATTATGATAAATATATTGCTTAAAATTAAAATCAGGGGCCAGCCCCATGGCCGGGTGGTTAAGTTTGCACGTTCTGCTTCGGTGGCCCAGGGTTTCACCAGTTCGGATTCCGGGCACGGACATGGCACCGCTCATCAGGCCACCCTGAGGCAGCGTCCCATATAGCACAACTAGAAGGACCTGCAGCTAGAATATACAACTATGTACTGGGGGGCTTTGGGAAGAAGAAGAAGAAAACAAAAAGACTGGCAACAGATGTTAGCTCAGGTGCCAATCCTAAAAAAACAAAATTAAAATCATATGTCTTATCTGATGCTTGCTCTCTCTATGGTATATTAGCAAAGGAAAATAATTAATTAGAGCCCAGTGGGCAGAAAGAATGGCTTGTCATACAATTCTCATCCTTGGTCTTTTTCTTCCTCCACAGTTCTGGGATCTTTGGTATATGTGAAAGTGGGGGTGGGGTGTGTGTGTGTGTGTGTGTGTGTGTGTGTGTGTGTGTGTGTAGGTAGGTTTGATAGTAAGGTTTCACATAACCACAATGTTTTAAAGAGTGTAGAAGGCAAAGGGTAATTGCTATTTTACAACAGAACAAGTGCATATTTCTTCTTCCCTAGTCTTAAAATACATGATTTATATGAAGTATTTGTTGTTGTTGTTCAAGAAAGTTAAGTGCATGGAGATTAGCTGAAACATGTTTTTCTGTTTGTTTTATTTTGTTGAGGATGGGCTGGTTACTATTCACTCTAACCAGAATAAGAAAAGGAAAACAAAAGAGTTAGGAAGGGGAATAATAGCTGTTACAAAATCTTTTTTTGTAATGGAATTCTACCCATATTTGTATTGGTCTTAATCTGTACTAATCTTAACTCTCTCTGAGAAAGAAAGCTGTCACAGCAGACAAGACTGAAGGCAGCAGATCTGATGTGTAGTCTTTCTTTCATGATTAAATATACACGTCAACAGCCCGATAGCCAGAGATAAGGATAACCTCGGTATTCAAACTGGACTGACCAGATCATGGCTAGTTATAACCAATGAAATAGAAATCAAGTCCCTAATACCTCCCCACCACCTCCAATTTAATGACAGGTCAGAAATGGCTCTGGACCAATGAAAGATCACTCACCTGTGCAGGTAGGTCTTGGGATCTTCTCGCTGATATGAAGGTACACTCCTGCCAGCTCTTCCCCACACTCTGTTGAAGTTGGGTCAGGCTTGGAATTGGACATGCCTGATACACAGAGAGAAAGATAAATGGGGAGGACTGGGGACCAAGATGCGTCTTTCAAAGGCACACCCTGTGTGAAGTAGAAATATGAAGGCTTTGGAGCCCACTTAAGGAAACCCATCTGGGATGGATTTGTGGAGCTTCCAAGGCACCAGTACTCACAAGATGGCTAGGATATATGGTAAAGGCCACAAAAAGAAGAATCTGGGCAGACGGCCAGAAGGGCCTGCATACCACCTGGCAGTCTAGTGCAAGAGTCATGATTGGGACCCCACTAATGGTTGGTTGGGACTGTGTGGTTTAGTAGAAAAGAGCAGGGACCGAGTCAGCTACAGAGTTCGGCACTTACAAGCTACATAACAGTGAGCAAGTGACTTGATCTGACACTCACTTTCATCACCTCTAAAATGGGAATACCGTCACCCATTTCATAGATTAAAGAGTTACTGTAGGCAATGTACCCACAACAGTTCCTGGCACACAGAACACTTTCAATACAAGGAAGTTCTTACTATAACTCTCCTATCTCCAGTTCCCAACTGTATCTCTAACAATTTCCTTCATGCAGAGAACTTCAAGCAGAGCAGCCATCTCTATGAGTACGCAGAAAATGTTTAACAGTCTTTCCATCTCCTTCCCTCAGGCTAACCCTCGCCCTCACCTCCTGAGACCATTTTCCCGTAGGTCTCCAGCATGAGATCCCAGTATTGCTCCTTTTGAGAAGAATCCAGGTGCCTCCACTGCTCCTAGAAAAAACACAATCCCGTGACTCCAATGAAGGTTTTTGAATTCTGCCTTGTCTGCCTATAGGAAAGCTGAGAAGAAAGGAATATGCTTTAGGATTCTGGCCGTCACGAGATCTAAGAAATCATGGGAGGTGATTCAAGGGAAGAGGCCAAACAGAAAACTCCAGTCCCTACACCAGTATTTCTTATTCTGGCTAAAAATATTTAGGTTTTAAGTTCTGGATTTTTTTAAGTTGCATCTATTTAAGATTGGAGAACAAAGAGAAGGCAGGAGCCTTTTCTACACTCTCCTTTCTTTAACTCTTTCGGTGCTTTTAATTGTTAGGCCTTTGAACAGTAGGAGCCTGATAGTCTCAATAGTTCTTTAAAATCTGGAAATTCAAGGGGGGGAAGCAAAGAAATTTAAAGGAATTTATTGGAAAAGCAAGTGTGAATCAGCAAAAAGGTGGGAAGAGTCAACAGTGAAGTCAACTGAGTTGTAAGTCTCCCTCTAAAACAGAGCCTGGTGGATTCAGAGCAGAAGGAGATGCTGCAGCCAGACACAGTGGGAAACTCCCAGGAGTTCTGAGTTTAGGGTCTGACATCAAATCAGTTTTACTCCCAGGTAGTGGGAAATTGATAGGTTCTCTGGAGCAAAGTGTCCCTCAATTACCCCCAAAACATGCCCTTCTGTTCCTATGGAACGGGGCACCGGAGACTCAAAACTGAGAAGGCTGTGTAACTAGAGTCTACTTTTGTGAATTCAAATTTTGATCTTCCCAAGAAGGAGCTGACTGTTAGAAACTCAGTCTGTATAGCAGAGTGATTAATAGCACAGTCTTTGGAGCCAGACATACAGGGTTTCAAGTCCCAGCTTTGCCACTTTCTAGCTGTGTGGTCTTAAGCAAGTAACTTGATCTTTCTGAGCCTCAGTCCTCACCTATTTATAGTACTGCACTCAAAAAATTGCCAGGAAGTTTAAGAGAAATAATGCAAGTGTCACTTGTTTTCATAGCATGTTATACTTTTCATTCATAGCATTCATCACAGTTTATTAAATATTTGTGTGTATGTATACACACATAAGCATTTGATTGACAGTTGCCTCTACTAGCATGCAAACTCCATGAGAAAAGGACTCTCCACTGTACCTTCCCAGTCCCCAAGACCCTGCCCAGGACAGAGCAGGCACTCAATCTATGTCGTCTGGGTGAAATAAAGCCCTCAGCAAAGAAGTCCTCAGTAGGTGATACATATTATTATTCCTATCATATGCAGTCTATGGGATACTCAGTCTCCCAGACTCACCCCCAAGGGTTTGCAGAGAGAATTAAGGGATTCCCTGCACTTTCAGGAGCCCCAAAGTTGGTAGCCGTCCATTATTGTCAGGATTAGCCAGGCTACATGGAGCAAAAATGAGGAGAGGAAGAAGGAAAGATGAAGTCATCTTCCTCTCGCACATGGTATGCTACTCAGGGAAGCCATTCTCAGTCCTAAATTAAGTCTGCCCTGGAGCACATCCAAGGGAAGTGCAAAGGGCTGAAAATGAATGGAGAGACCAAAAAGTCTGTAACTACCAGATACTAAGCACAAATTTTAAAAAGAAAGAGAGGGTTTAGATTTTTTTAGGGTGAACATGTGAAAAGTGACCTCAATATATTTAACTACATATTTAACTATTAACTATAACCACATTTTTAGTATGAACTTTAATTTTAAATTTTTTATTTTTAAAGTAGGAATTGTTAGCTTATTTTGTTGATCTTCTGTGAATGAAGCTACCTAAATCTCCTAAAAATAACCAGCTTGAGCAAACATTGCATAATAGGGGAGTCCTCAGTTTTCATGGTCAGAACAGTCTCTTGTTTCAGCACTGGCACAGAAAAGGATGGGCATGCCAACCATAGTAATATCAGCTTGGCCACCTGGTTGCTGGATACAGGGCCTATTCTGTGGGTACCAGAATGGTAGCTACCAAGTACAGTAAAGGCAAAAAAGAAGACAGCCACCAAAACCCCTATGGGCCACAATCAGCCATTTCAAAAACCAGAAAAGATGATTCAGGAGTCTCTAAATAGTGGTTCTCCAGCTTAAAGGAATTGCCAAGCTGGGATGCTTGAATAAAACCACTTACTTAAGGGGCAAGACACCAACTGCAGCCATCTTGTCTTTTTCTCATTTAATCTAAATTCCTATCCTGGAAGGAGGGAAGTATAGCATTTGACAGGGAAATCATCTCGATTTTGTGTGGAAACAGCACCACCATGTGGGTTGAGGAGACAGTGTCACGACTGACTTGCACAAAGAGTTTACTGTATAGTGTTCCTTTCTCAAAGTCTGAAAATGCCAGAATGTGAGTAAATGCATCCTGGAGGCTATGTGAGGTTCTAACACAGTCACCGTTTCTAATAATGAAGTACCACCGAGGAGGGATGCTGCTTCATTACTCTGGCATCATTCACGAAGTTCCTAACTTATGGAAGAGATTAGAGGGCGTGATGACTTATATTTAAAAATTTCCTTCACTTAGAAAATAGTTCCCTTAAATATCAGGGTCCTTCTGATGCAAACAGCTGTTGTTAGTTTGGGGGAGGGATATTGGGATTGGGGAGGGATGACTTTGGTTTGTTTGGGTTGAACGGCTATTAATCAATTATCTGCTAATATAATACAGAGAATTCTATAAATACATACACACAAACATACATATACACACATATGGTGCTGGTGAGTATTTTGAATCTTTTGACTTTAAGCTGTCCGTAACAGGTCATGGTTAATGTTGGTACACGGAGTGAGCGTTTAACTGCACTAGGTGAAATATGTTCATCAAGCGTCCACACCTTTCACACGGATTCTCTGACTTACTGCAGAAGCAACAACAGTCCACCAAGCCTGCTGGGAACATCGGACGGAGTGCTCAACTCTTTTTAACCAAGCAACCTCCTGCCTAGCAATTTGGTTTCTGGGTACCTTAAAAGCAGGAAGAAGGGCACCTTTGAGACACTAAAAAGATATATCCCCCACCCTGCTCCCTCCTAACCCTCTCCCCCAAGGTAAACTGTGACGTTGGTTTTCTGGTGTCTAAATCTTTGAGCCTGGAAAGCTGAAGCTCAGGCCTGGTCTTCAGCAGCACATCAAGCAGCACCTACTGGCTTCCTATCTTCACCTTCCCTCTAAAGTACCTCATGAGCTGAGTCCCAAGAAGAGTGTCCCAAAGGCTGGAAACAAGATTTTGATTAAGGTGTTTAGGTTCCTGAAAAACTCTTTTTATCAAAGCAACTTACAGAGTTGTTATCTACACAATCAAGATAAACCTGTCCCAGAGACTTCTGTTTATAGCCAAGATGGAGTAACAGAGACTGGATTTACCTTCCTGCCTGAAACAGCTAAAAAAGGGGGCAAAATATACAAAACAATGGTTTGCAGACATTGCACGTTAGGCAGAGAGAACAGAAATTCCTAAAAGCAAGAAAGGAAATTAGATGAGCCCTACAGTTGCCCAAACTTACTGCCTGGAGAAGCATCCAGGCAGCAGCACAGCGAGGGGGAATTTGGCAGAGCCGGGCAGCCCCAGCTGAGCAGGAGGAGGTCAAGGGGGTTATAGAGTTAGCAGAGCAGAAGACCTGAGGGGAGCTGCAGAGAGAGCTCCAGAGATCTGCAGAGGGTCCCCCTCAAGTCCAGGAAAGCTCCCCAAAAGAAGCAGAGGGAACAATCCCCAGAGCTCATACAGTGCTGGAAATACTTCATATTTCCACTAGCCAGAGTGGAAAACCTTGTACATCAAGGAGAATCAGGTAGTGTACTCAGAAGGGCATTGCCTCGGTACAGGGGAAAAACTAGCCCTAAACTAAAGACTTCTCTGGTGCCATATAACAAACTATGTTCAAGTAACTTTACCACATCTTAGAGCAAAGCTCGAGAACATTTATAGAAATGCAAAACTATCCAGCACTCAACAAGGTAAAATTCACAATGTCTGACAGCCAATCAAAAATTCCCAGACATGCAAAGAAGCAGGAAAACATCTCATAATGAGGAGACCAATCCATCCATTGGAACTGACTCAGAACTGACATAGGTAATAAATTAGTAGACAAGGATATTACTGCATATATTATAACCATATTCCATATGTTTCAGAAGCTGGAGGACAGATTGAACATGTTAAGTACAGACATGAAAGATAATAAAGCCCCAATTCAAACTTCTAGAGATGAAAAATACACCTGAGATGAAAAGTACACTGGATGGAATTAATCTCAAATTAGAAACTAGAGAAGAAAACATTAATGAACTTGCAGACATAAAAACAGAAACTATCCAAAATGAAACACAGAGATTGAAAAGAAAGAAAGAGAAAAGAGCATCAGTAAGCTGTAGGACAACTTGAAGAGATCTAATACAGTCAGGTGTCGTTTAACGATGGGAATATGTTCTGAGAAACGCATTACCAGGTAATTTTGTCATTGTGTGAACATCATCGAGGGCACTTACACAAATATAAATTGTATAGCCTACTACACACCTAAGCTATATGGTATAGCCTACTGCTTCCAGGCTACAAACCTGTACAGCATGTTACTGTACTGAATGCTAAGGCAATTGTAACACAATGGTATCTGTGTATAAAAACATAGAAAAGTACAGTAAAAATACACTATAAAAAATCAAAAATGGTACGCCTATAAAGGGCACTTACCATGAATGGAGCTTGCAGGACTGGAAGTTGCTGTGGGTGAGTCAGTGAGTGGTGAGTGAATGTGAAGCCTAGAACATCACTGTACCCTGCTGTAGACTTCATAAACACTGAACACTTAGGCTGCACCAAATTTATTTTTAAAAATTTTTCTTCAATAATAAATTAACCTTAGCTTATTGTAATTTTTTTACTTTATAAACTTTAAAATGTTTTTAACTTTTTGACTTTTTTGCAATAGCTTAAAACACAAATACACTGTACAGCTGTACAAAAATATTTTCTTTCTTCATATCCTTATTCTATAAGCTTTTTTCTGTTTTTAAAACTTATTTTCTTTTACTTTTTAAACTTTTTTGTTAAAAACTAAGACATAAACACACACATTAGCCTAAACCTACACAGGGTCAGGATCATCAATATCACTGTCTTCCTCCTCCACATCTTGTCCCACTGGAAGGTCTTCAGGGGTGATAACATGCATGGAGCTGTCACCTCCTGTGATAACAATGCTTCTTCTGGAACACCTCCTGAAGGACTTGCCTAAGGCTCTTCTTGAGGAGGTGTCACTCTTTTCAGAAATATGTCTTATGGTGGTTTGCTTGGTTTGTTTCTTTTTTTCATCATAGATTTGCTTGTAAGCAGGTAATGTACCATGAACATTCCTCTCTATTAACGAAAACCTTTCAGTGTTGGGGTCCATGTTTTCAAACTTTTTAAGGAGCTTGTTGAGGTCTGCAAAAGCTTCTGTTAAACTCTTCACTGTGAATTTTCTTGGGGGTTATTCTTCTTTTTCTTCTCCTGCAGTTTCCTTTACTCTTGCCTCTTCTTCAGCTATACATTCCTGTTCCAGTTCCAACGACTCATTAGTCAGTTCCTCCGGAACCACTTCTACGACCTCCTCAATGTCACCCTCATCCACACTCAGGTTAAAGTTGTTCGCCATCTGACACACAGCCTTCTTGATTTCTGCAACCTCCTCATCCTAGGCAAATTCTCTGAAGTCATGGACAAACTTCTTGAGTGTCCTCTTCCAGATGCCATTCATACACTCCTTGGTGACATCACTCCAAGCCCAAGCAAGGTTCTTGATGCAGTCATAGATATTTTAATCCTTCCAGAATTGCATCAGTGTCTTCTCAGTGTCTTCTTCAGTTGCAGCAATAGCCTGAGCAAAGGTCCTCCTCAGGTAGTAGGCCTTAAAAACTGTTTTAACACCTTAATCCATTGCTTGGATCAAAGAGGTGGACTTTGGAGGGAGAAACACTGCTTTGGTATTGGGATAAAGAACATCAATAAAAGGAGGCTGCCCAGGAGCACTAACAATAAGTAAAATCTCGAAAGGTATGTTATTCTCCAAACAGTACTTCTCCACTTTGCTGGCACAGCAATTCAGGAGGACATCTTGGAAGAATAGCTGGGCCTGCCATAACTTCTTATTGCTCCTGTAGTACACCAGCAGTGTGTACTTACTGATATGCTTGAAGGCCCTGGGATTCTCAGTGTGCCAGATCACAAAGGGTTTCCATTTGTAGCCTGCAATACTGCCCCCAAATAAGACTGTTATCCTGTTCTTAAAAGCCTTGAAACCTGGCATTGACTTGGCCTCCTTATGGATGAAAGTCCTTTCAGGCTTCCGTTTCCAGAATAAGGAAATACTGAATATTTGCTCTGGCAAGTAATTTTCCTCCATAATCAGCTCATCTAGAGTTTCCAAAACTTTTTCAGCTGCCTTTTAAACCATCCAGAGCTAGCAGTAAATCCAACATCACAGTCAGGTCCAGCTTTTTCTTTCAACACTGTGAACAAACTTTTTGCTTTGGCCGTGACCGTCATGGTGCTGAGAGGGATGCACTTCTGTGTCCAGATCATTAGAATTTTCCTCGTGTCTGACAGAGGCCTTTCTCAAATTTTTGTTGGTCTCCTTAACCTAAATGAAGCAGATCCTTTAACAGCTTCCATCACTTTGCTCTTGTTCTTCAAGATTGCAGCTATGGTGTAATGGGACATGCCTGACTGGCAAGCAATAACCAGCATTGATTTTCCACCTTTGTAGTCCTTAATTACTTTTAATTTCCAGGTCGATCACTCAATGTGGCCTCTTACTGGCAACATTAGCAATGGATTCTGTATGCTTAGGGGCCGTGATGAACAAAAAACATGAGATTAAATCAAGCAAGAGAGAAAATGATGCAATCAAGAGACACAGTAAACACGGGATGTATGAGGCTGCTGCTGACGTAACAACTGTTTTACCCTAAAATTTTTTTTATGAGTAGAAAGAGTACACTCTAAAATGACAATAAAAAGCATAGTTATAAATATGTAAACCAGTAACATAGTCATTTATTATCAGTACTGTATTATGTACTGTACATAATTGTATTTGCTATACTTTTATATGACTGGCAGTACAGTAGGTCTTTTTACATCAGCAGCATCACACATGAGTAATGCATTGCACTAAGATGTTACAATAGCTATGATGTCACTAGGCCATAGGAATTTTCAGCTCCATTATAATCTTATGGGACCACCAGTCATATATGTAGTCCATCATTGACCAAAATATTGTTATGTGGTACATGACTGTATATGTATACACATTATCATTATTCACATCCCACATGTATTATTCTCAGAGTCCCCAAAGAAGCAGAGAAGGAAGAGAGACAGAAAAAACACCTGAAGAAATAACGGCCAAAAATTTTCAAATTTGATAAAAACTATGAAAACACAGATCCAAGTTCAATGAGCCCCAAGCAAAAAACACATGAAGAAAATGACTCCAACACTCATCACACACCCATTGTTTAAAGCCAGTGAGAAAATATTAAAAGTAAGCAAGAAATATACACTATATGGAGAAGAACAAAGATAAGAGTACATATGGCATGATTCCACTTTATACAAAATTTTAGATGATGCAAATAATGTATGGTGACAGAAAGCAGACTAGGAGGTGCCTCAGGACTGGAGGAGTGTAGAGGGGCAGGAGGGACAGATTACAAATGGCAAAAGGAAACCTTTGAGGGTGACGGCTAAGTTTATTATCTTGATAGTGATCATGAGTTCACGTGTGTATATAGATGTCAAAAAACTTACCAAACCCTACACTTTAAATACATGCAGTTTACTGTTTGTCAATTATACCTCCAGAAATTTGGGGGAGGATAAGATTCACCTGTCCCCCAGTAAACATAACCATTCTAAACCACAAACTGACTCCTATGTGAGAGGCCTAGACTAGGAAATGAAATACGGTCTTTTCTTAGCACAACCCAAAGATAATAAGAAAACAGAGCCAACTGTATGTGGGATAGAGACAAGATTACCTCTTCACAGCAACTTCCTCCAGGGCCCAGATTTCATTATTCAAGATGACAATTAGGAAACATTCTGCCTTAGAGAAACAGTGAAACTCAGGTTTCATTCCACATGTATTATTCTCGTTATCCTTGCAAGGCCCCTCCGCTCCACTTCTGAGAATGCTTCCCTTTTCAATCATCCTCACTATGGACACACCCTCAAAGCCTGGTTCAGGGGTAAGATAAACAGGGGCACCCAGCTCACCTGAGGTGCTGTGTGGAGAAGTGAGGCTCCAAAGTCCTGGTCTCTCATGAGCCTTCCCTCAGGCTGGGCCGGAAGCTGGGAAGCAGCCATCACTGAAATGAGAAGCAGGAGGTCTGAAGAATCTAGATGTCCTCCTCATCCACTCCCCAGAAGGTACAGATAAAAATCCTCACAAATTAGAACTGATACCTGTTCCGCACTCCATTATTTCAAAACTCGTGTTTACCCTCTAACAAACTCCAACTCCCTGCATCCTTCCAAACCATGTCACCCATATTTTCTTCCACCTCCTTCCTCAGAACCAAAATCCAAATGGTCTGGCCCAGTCATAACATGGTTTAAATTACAGACTTTGAAACTCCAATTCAGAGGGATTCACGTAGTCTACCCTGTCTCCAAACTTTCCCGAGATACCCCAATCTGAGCGGCTCACTCTGGCCTACTAACTACAGTCCCCAAGTTTCTCCAAGAGAGCACCACACTCACCTAATTCTTGTTCCATGTCAGACTCCTCTTTCACAATGTGGCTGAGTGGCTCCTCAGGCCCGGAGGGTGAACTCTGAAGTCCCAGCTCCGGAGGCACCACTTCAAGATGGGGCTCCACTTCCCCGCCTTGGCAGCTTGGAGATTCCACCTTCTCTGATAAGATCTCCTGTCCCAGAACTTGGATGCTGATCTAGAGACCACATGGTACTAATTACTGAAAGATGCAGAGCGAGGGGTTCTGAAAGATCCAAAGCTGACCTTCTATAACAGATCATGTGGCAGGCAGTAGGGACACAGAGTACGGAAAGAGAAAACCAGCTTTTCTTTCCAGCCCAGCAGCAACCAGTGAGGGAAACATCCTGAGAGAGGCCAAAAGCTGACGCGTGAACCAGGCCTGGGAGACCTTCAAGACATGCCACCAATACTGTGTTTCTACTGGACAGTCTCCATCAATTAAACTCAGGAGTCTTCTGAACAACTTCTCAAACATTCTAGTCTAAAGATGGAATGCGATGGGAGACTTTATCTTCAATCTCTAATGGCTAAAAAGTGTTGAGAGTCACAGAGAGTCTTAGAATTAGGTGAGGTATGGGGATCAGTGATGTGGAATAAGAAATACATATTCCATCTTTGTCCCAGATTCCTGGCACAGAGCTCCTAAAACCGGTGGAATTCCCTGAAGGATAGGAGTGCCTTTTGTTATTCTTAATAACCCTTTTCAACCATACCTGAGTTTATGCTAATGAGATGACTCTGTGGGCCCCTAGAAAGCTTCAAGATGGAGGAACCAACCAGGAGATTAGAAGGTTAGAAGTTTCAGCCCCAGCTCTCACCCTCTGGGGAAGAGAGAGGATTTTCAATTACCACTGGCCAGTGATTAATAATCATGCCTAAGTAATGAAACCTCCATAAAAAACCCTAAACTGTGGGGTTCAGGGAGCTTCTGAGTTGAACACATGGAAGTGCTGGGAGAATGACATGCCCAGAGAGGGCGTGGGAAGCTCTGTGCCACCCCCGTCTCCTCCATTTGTCTGTTCCTGAGTCACATTCTCTATAAAAAACTGGTAAACGTAAGTATTTTCCTGAGTTCTATGAGTCATCATAGCAAATTACCGAACCTGAGGACGAGGTTGTGGGAACCTCCAAATTTATAGCCAGTCAGTCATTAGTATGGCGGCCTTGCAACTTATTGATACCAGCTCAATACAAGGTTAACAAAAAGGAAGTCATATTACAGAAAAGAAACCATATCATAACTTTAAATGATCTCTGACTAACTAGACCAGACATGCTCTGTAGATTAGACTTTGAGGTCCCTCCCAGCTGCTTTAAGATGATAACTTTGTTCTTTTGAGTTTCTTTGGAATGTGATGACCCCTAGCAGAGAGCCCATGCTGATAGCCATCATCTATGACAACTAAAAGATCGGGGTATAGGGTACTGCTCCATTCTCTGATGCAGATCCAGTAAAACAAAGGACTATCAGGAACTGGGACCAGATGTCTGCCCCACTCACAGACCAGCCCCATATATAACTGGCCTGTAGCCTTTGTTCTGTAAGATGGTTCTTTGGGACATGAGTCGGCCATCTTCCCCCTTGTTAGCAAGCTGTTATAAAGTCCTTTCGCTCCTACCACTTTGCCTCCTGATTACTGGCATGTGTTGTAGTGAGCAGAGAAGCCCCCTGGGGTGGTAACATTACAACTGATGTCTGAAATGGGGGCAGTCTTCTGAGACGGATTCTTACCCTGTGGGGTCTGAGCCATCCCCAGATAGTGTCAGAACTGAATTGAATTGTAGGATACCCAGCTGGTATCGGAGACCTGGAGAACTGCTTGTTGGTGTGGAAAACCCCATACATTTAGTGTCAAAAAAAAAAACAAGACACCTGGGAAGACCCCAGAGGAGCCCTGTAGCTCACTCACAGATCATGATACCCTCTGCTTACCCACTGCCACAGTCTCTGGGGGTCTCCCTTCAAGCTCTCCACAAGGGTCACTGCCTCCTCTCCACTGCCTGGACACTGTTTCCGCACCCACATCTGGATCTCCCCGGGCAGGATGGTCAGGAACTGTTCCAACATGAGGATCTCTAGGATCTGCTCCTTCGTGTGAACGTCTGGCTGCAGCCACTGGAAACAGAGCCTCCGAAGTTGTCTCAGGGTCTCATGGGGCCCAGACATCACCTGGTAACGAAACTGCCTGAAACGCTGGCGTGCTGTCTCAGGGCTGCAGAGCTCCCCTCGAGGGATGGCATCTGGTCCAGAGAATGGGGAGTCCTCAGTCTTCGCCAGTGGCGGCAGCAGGACTAGTGCCTGCTCCAGCTCAACAGGCATCATCTGGCTTGGCAAGTCCTTTGGATGAAGTGCTTCTGGGATGGAGTTGTCTCTGAGGAGAACCACGTCTTCACAGAGTCTCTCACAGGGACACTAGACAGGGAGCGAGAATAAGTGCTATACAGAGGAGAGGGACACATTTTCAGAAAGAACAAATCCACCTGCCCTACCTGGGAAGCCTCGGAGTCAACCACCACACTTCTGAAATCAGTGGATACACTATTTTATTTTGAAAGATTGTAAACTTGAAGCCACAAAGCAAACCACTTATATCATTTCTAAACTGTCACCATCACTGACTATTTTACAACATTCTCTCTTGGTCTTCAAATGTCCAGACCAACTAGAAGAATGAAATATGCCACATGAAGCATTTTCACTATGGGTTTCCAGGTAAACAGCTCATCTTCAAAACACTTTTACGTCTGCATCTATATGTCTGGAGACTAAAAAACAAAGCCAAACAAAGACATTAAAAATGTGATTCAAAATTAAGGAGAAAAAGATGCACGGAAGACTCAAAGGAAAATATAGTCTTAATTAAAGAGATAGAGACTTTACACAGAGAAATAGAAAGTACAAAAAGTCCCACAGCTAATATCGTACTCAATGGAGAAAACCTGAAAGCTATCCCTCTCAGAACAGGAATCACACAAGGATGCCCACTTTCACCACTCTTATTTAACACAGTGCTGGAAGCCCTAGCCAGAGCAATCAGACAAGAAAAAGAAATAACAGGGATCCAAATTGGAAAGGAAGAAGTCAAACTGTCACTATTTGCATAAGACATGATTTTATATATAGAAAACCCTAAAGAATCCACCAAAAAACTTTTAGAAATAATAAATGAATACAGCAAAGTTGCAGGATACAAAAACAATATATGAAAATCAATTGCGTTTCTATATTCTAACAACAAAGTAGCAGAGGGAGAAATTAAGAATACAATGGCAGGGGCTGGCCCCCTGGCCTAGTGCTTAAGTTTGGCACACTACGCTTTGGGGGCCCAGGCTCAGTCCCCAGGCATGGACCTGCACCACTCATCAGCGGCCATGCTGTGGTGGCAACTCATACACAAAATAGAGGCAGACTGGCACAGATGTTAGCTCAGGGTGAAACTTCCTCAAGCTAAAAGAGGAAGATTGGCAGCAGATGTTAGCTCAGGGAAAATCTTCCTCAGCAAAAAAAAAAACCCAAAAAAATACAATCCCATTTATAATTGTAACAAAAAGAATAAAATACCTAGGAATAAATTTAACCAAAGAGGTGAAAGACTTGTACACTGAAAACTATAAAACATTGTTGAAAGAAAATGAAAAAGACACAAAGAAATAGAAAGATATTCCATACTTTTGCATTGGAAGAATTAACGTAGTTAAAATGTCCATACTTCCTAAAGCAATATACAGATGCAATGCAATCCCTATCAAAGTTCCAATGACATTTTTCACAGAAATAGAACAAAGAATCCCAAAATTTATATGAAACAACAAAAGACCCTGAATAGCCAAAGGAATACTGAGAAAAAGGAACAAAACTGGAGGTATCACACTCCCTGATTTCAAAATATTCTACAAAGCTATAGAAGCCAAAACAGCATGGTACTGGAACAAAAACAGACACACAGATCAATGGAACAGAATCGAGAGTCCAGAAATAAACCCATACATCTATGGACAACTAATTTTCGACAAGGGAGCCAAGAACATATAATGGAGAAAGGAAAGTCTCCTCAATAAATGATGTTGGAAAAACTGGACAGCCACATGCAAAAGAATGAAAGTAGACCATTATCTTACACCATACACAAAAATTAACTCAAAATGGATTAAAGACTTGAATGTAAGACCTGAAATCATAAAAATTCTAGAAGGAAACATAGGGAGTTTCCTCGACATCAGTCTCAGCAGCATATTTTCAAGTACCATTTCTGAGTGGGCAAGGGAAATAATAGAAAAAATAAATGGGACTATATCAAACTAAAAAGCTTTTTCACAGCAAAGGAAAGCATCAACAAAACAAAAGGACAACCTAACAATTGGGAGAAGAAATTTGCAAGCCATGTATCTGATAAGGGGTTAATATCCAAGATATATAAAGAACTCATACATCCCACAACAAAGAAACTAACAGCCCAGGAAAAAAATGGGCAAAAGATCTGAACAGACATTTCTCCAAAGAAAATATACAGACAACCAACAGGCACATGAAAAGATGTTCAAAATCACTAATTATTAGGGAAACGCAAATCAAAACTACAATAAGATATCACCTCACACCTGTCAGAATGGCTATAATTAACAAGACAAGAAATAACAAGTGTTGGAGAAGATGTAGAGAAAAGGGAATCCCATACACTGCTAGTGGGAGTGTAAACTGGTACAGCCACTATGGAAAACAGTATGAAGATTCCTCAAGAAATTAAGAATAAAACTACCATATGATTCAGCTACTCCACTGCTGAGTATTTATCCAAAGAACATGAAAACACGAATGCATAAAGACATATGCACCCATATGGTCAATGCAGCATTATTCACAATAGCCAAGACTTGGAAACAACCTAGGTGTTCATCAAGGGACAAATGGATAAAGAAGATGTGGTATTTATACACAATAGAATGCTACACAGCCATAAAAAAAGATGCAATCTTGCCATGTGCAACAATATGGATGGACCTTGAAGGTATTATGCTAAGCAAAATAAGTCAGAGGGAGAAAGTCAAATACCGTACGTTCTCACTCATAAATAAAAGATAAAAACAACAACAAACACATGGAGGCAAAGATTGGATTGGTGGTTACCAGGAGGGAAGAGGGTAGAAAGAAGGGTGAAAGGGGTAATTAGGGACACATGTGTGGTGATGGATTGTAATTAGTCTTTGGGTGGTGAACATGATGTAATCTGCACACAAATCGAAATATAATGACGTACACTTGAAATTTACATAATGTTATAAACCAATGTTACCTCAATTAAAAAAAGATCATTCTGAGGCCCCTCGGCAGAGTAGCATCAAGAATAGTTTCACTGAGGTGACATCAGCATCATGGTGGAGTGAGCTCGCCAGGGACTCTCTCCCCTCCGAATTACAACCATAAGGAACAACCACATTCCAACAAAAAAATCCTAATAGCACAGAAATCGTCCCACAGCAGCGAAACAACAGAGGGTGGAGAGGCTGTAGCCCCCCCCCATCGGAGGAGGTGGAATGGGGTAAGAGAGAACTTCACTCCCTCCCCTAGAGACTGGGATACCTGCGGCAGGAGGCTCTGAGAGGGAAGGAGCGGGGTAGGGGCCGCGCATCTGCAGGATCACCCAGGACTCCCACAGACCCGTGCAGCAGAAATCCTCTAACAGGGGAAAGCTTTCGTGTAGGGGGACCCCATCAAGCCAAGGCCCCAGGAGACCAGAGAGTGAGAGCTGACTGGAATCCAGGTGTGCACATGAGAGAAAGTGCCCCTCCTCCCCCAACCCGCGCTGCACACTGCCATCACAGCTGAAGGCCAAAGGCTCAGAATGCGCAGCTCTCAACCCCCATCTAGTGGTGACAGCCTGTAACTGCAACCAAATGATAGCATTATGTGTAAAAACCGTTTCTCTATCATCCAGCAATTTATAAAAGCTCCAGACCAGAAGGAAAACAATAAAAACACAGAAGTATGTCCTGAGGAATTGGAAATAGGTAAACTAAGTGACAATGAATTCAGAATAGCTATCATCGAAAAACTCAATGAGGTAAAGGGAAATATAGAGAAACAAGTCAACGAGTTCTGGAGTTACTTCACAAAAGAGATTGAAACTATAAAGAAGACTCAATCAGAAATACTAGAGATGAAAAATACAATGGATCAGATAAAACAGAATAGAGATTCCCTGAATGCCCATGTAGACACCATAAAGAAGCAAATTAGCATAATTGAAGATAGACAGGTTGAATGGCTCCAGACAGAGGAAGAAAGAGAACTAAAAATTTAAAAAACTGAAGAAAACCTCCGAGAAATAGCTGACTCAATGAGAAAAGGCAACTTAAGAATCATCGGTATTCCTGAGGGCGTGGAAAAGGAAAATGGAGCAGAAAGTGTGCTCAACAACATAATAGCAGAGAACCTCCCAAATCTAGGGATTGAGAGAGAAATATGTGTGGAGGAAGCTGTTAGATCTCCTAGATTTGTCAATGTAAAAAGACCTACTGCAAGGCATAAAGTAGTAAAAATGGCAAAAATGAATGACAAAGAAAGAATACTCAGGGCAGCAAGGCAGAAGAAAATAATCTACACAGGAACCCCTATCAGACTTTCAGCAGATTTCTCCACAAAAACCTTACAAGCTAGGAGAGATTGGAATGACACATTCAAAACTAAAGGATAAAAAATCTTCAGCCAAGAATACTCTATCCAGCAAAAATATCCTTCAGATATGAGGGAGAAATTAAATCTTTTCCAGACAAACAAATGCTAAGGGACTTCGTAGCCACAAGACCTCCACTACAAGAAATCCTCAAGAAGGCCCTCATACCTGAAAAAAGAAAAAAAGGGAAAAAGGGGTCACGAAACACAGAGTAGGGAGACAGATAGAATCAGAATAGGATAGCAAATATTCAACTACAACATTAGGATAAAGGGAAGGAAATCACCAAAGCAAAGACAATGTTATCACTCTAACCACAAACTCACAACACAAGTTGGAATAAGAGATGAAAATAATAATTTACGAGGGGAAGAGGAAAGGGACTGAATCAGTTTAGGCTAAGGCAGTAAGAGACCACCAGAAAATGGTCTATGGTATGCATGAGATTCTGAATACAAACTTCAGGGTAGCCATTAAACTAAAAAACAGAACAGAGACACAAAACATAAATAAGGAAAAAGCTAAGAAACCCAGCATAAGGAATTGCAGAAGTCAATGGGTAGGCTAAAGCACACAGGACGAGAAACAAAGGAAACACAGGAAAACCAGAAAATGAGCGACAGAATGACAGCATTAAGCCCTCACGCGTCAATAATCACCCTCAATGTAAACTGACTGAACTCTCCAATAAAAAGACACAGAGTGGCAAGATGGATTAAAGAACAACATCCAACAATTTGTT